AATAGACATATACTTAACAACGAAGATATGAAGTTGCAATTTTGGAATTAAAAAACAAGTTGTAATTAAAAAATACATACCTTTCAAACCTCGTTTCTACTAGAATTGTGCTCGACGTTCTTTCACCATCAATGATTGATTCGGTACTAATAGATCTTGCAATTTCTCTTTCGATGAAGATAGTCAAAGAATTTAGAAGAAAGTCATCTTCTATTTTACTTCGAAGTCTGGATTTAACAATAGCCATAGCCGAGAATGCACGTTCTGTTGTCGCCGTAGACACGGGAAGAGTGAGAATCAGCCTGATTAATCTATCAATCAACGGGTAAACCAAAGACTTTCTACTTGTTGCCATCCATTGACACAAATCAGAGATAGTACACAAAGTTTGAAATTCTGAATGCTGAAGAACATCAATCTCATAATGTTTCAATTGAGCTTGCAACAAATCTTTTTCATAATCCGTGAAGTCCCTAGGATAGAATTCAGTGACAAGGAGGCAAGCATCATCTATATTAAAAGACAATCGAGAATTGCAAGGGCCAAACATAGAGCTACGAGCAAGTAGCTTCACGACATGCTCACTAAACCTGTTGTTTAGCTCTTGCAATTGACAATCTATTGTAACCGCAAAAATGTTAATACGGTAATGATCCCCGACTGTAAATAAATTTTTCTTGTTCCGAGATCGTCCTCCTCTTTCCACATATAAAGCATTAATATCAGGAATATCTAGTGCACGACTTTCACAAAAAGACTTTACCTTGGAAAAGAGATTGTTGTATCCATCATCTCTCATTTTCTGGATAAGACTCTTTGTCGTCCCAACAAGATGCATAGCATTCAAAATATCTTGAGATTTTCGTTGTAGAGCTTGACAAAGTGTATCAGTTATCTCCATGATTTCCTTCATAAGATGTAGGATGAAGATTAACTCAAATGAAGTTAAAGAAGTGTAAGCTGAATCAGCATCAGCTCGTTGATCATAATTTCCCTCATCAATGATGCACAACAAAACCGAGCAAGCGGCACTGAACATCTTTAACAAACTGGAAATGGACCTCAAATGTGAGCCCCAACGCGTATCCCCTGCTCGTTGTAAACTCCCAATTTGATTTTGTCCAGACCCTTTTTCAAGCTCATCAATAGAAATCAAGTAAGCAACATCAGAAGCTTGAGCCGCTTTCAATTCATCGACGCGTTTACAAGAAGAACCCACCACATTTATAATGAGATTTAATTTTGTAAAAAAATGGTGGATGGGAATAACTTCTCGAGATGTGCCAACTAACGTCAATTGCAAGCGATGAGCGAAACAATGCACATAATATGCAAATGGGCATTCTTTAGAAATTAATGCTTGTAGCCCGTTAAATTCACCCCTCATATTACTCGCCCCATCATATCCTTGACCCCGAATATTTTGAATGTCAAGATTGTGACGAGAAAGAGTAGAAAATATTGCATCTTTTAAAGTTAGCGCCTTCGTATCAGACACATGTACGAGATCAAAGAAGCGCTCCCGAACAAAACTATCAATATCAACAAATCTCAAAACGATACTCATTTGCTCCCTTTTTTATTCATCTCTCGCCTCATCAACAATAATGCAAAACTTTGCATCCCCAATTTCCACACGAATCACTTTTTTTATCTTCACTGAGATAACAAGTAAAATATCCTTTTGTACAGACGAGGATGTATACAAGGCATTTTGAGGTGCTTTGTCTAATATAACATTTGCAATATTTTCATTAAGTTTAGCCATCGCACTCAAAAATTCAAGAAAATTACCACGGTTAAGAGAATCTCTACTTTCATCACGACCTCTGAAAGCCAAACCCTGACTCGCAAGATACCGGACTGAAACAATTGAGGCTTCGAGACGTAATCTGTTTTTTGCAATTTGTTCGGAGCTTTGTTTTTCAATAAAATTCCGAACATGTTGTGCTTGATTCATTAAGTCTTCATATGATTTCTCGGCAATTTTGTGCAATGAATTATGATCTTTCCCAATGTGATTAAAAAATGCACAGTCTTTCCCATTCCGTACCTTTTTCCAATTTTTGAAGCCATCAACAAAAAAAGTATTATGACTGTGATGCTTACCTGGTTTGTTGAACAAATAACAAGGTAAACAAAATGCAGCATCACTCGTAGGAGAGCATTCTAACCAAGACGGAAATATCTTGAACCACGACGCTCGAAAACGACGAGAATATTTTCCAGACCCGCTCAATGGATATTCACCAATGTATTGATAAGGACCATAGTTAATATAAGTCCGTCGAACTTCATCAATTTTATCCACGGGATAACTTGATATTGGCATACGTAATCCTGGGTCACGTTCAAGCTTGTTGATATCAAATACCACCGGCTCGATTCTAAGTGACTTTTGAATCTGGTTATCAGCTTTCTCAACAATTGGTGGTCCTCCTTTATCTTCCTCTCCTTTATTTTCTTCAACATGATCATATTTTCTTTTAAAAAATGAATCAATTCTTGATGACTTTCTCATACCCTGAAAATAAAATAAAAACAATAAATATTAATATTAAAGGGCCTATAATATGTTGCTTAAAACAACAATAAATATAAGCAAGTACATATGCTCATTTTTCCTTTTCACAGATACATTACTAATCCTAGACACAATGTTTTTAGCCTTATGTTTAGGTATCAATTAAATAAAAATCTAGTATTGATTTCAAATTTAAGGATGACCAAAATGCCCAATTCACTTCTCAGTTCCCTGTTGCTATTGGAACCACAAAAAAAAAAAGTAACTAAAAATCAAATTTATGCAAACAATCCAACAATCATTTAATTGTTTTTAAGTACATATATAAATTGTTTGAATTAGGCTCAAGAAGAAGTAAAAACCTAAGTTGTACATTAAACTTGGTTAAACCCTAAATGGAAAAAAGGAACAAATAGATAATATCATAAATAAGATATAAACAAAAGAGCTTACAAATATAATTATCCCCAGGAAGAAGATGAATGCGCTGTGCTCAAATCTCAATTGATTTTTTTTTTTTCTGGTTCGCTCGCTCACTGTTGTGATGTGCTCTCGCTTTTCTCTTAACTTTTCTGTCCCACCGTAGCGTGCATGAAAACTTCTTTGCCTTTTATGTGGAAAGTAAGTCTATAATTATTTGTTTATTGGAGTAAAGAATAATTAATTAAGTTAATTTATTATATTATATATGCTTATTAAAGGAAAAGATGTGGAAGTGGAATGGGATGGGAATCGTGCATGTGACATCTCCAAAATATTATTTTATTTCTATTTAATAAATCATTTACTTTAATTTATACTTTATAATTTAAGGGGGGCCAAATAATTAACTAAATACAATATATAATATATTATATATACATGCTACTAAGAGTTAAAAAAAACTTTGGGGGGACCATGGCCCCCCTATTATAAAGGTACATCCGTCCCTGTGTCAATTGTTACTACCAAATTCTACCTTTGAACTTAAGATTTTTAATAAGTATTTCACTAAGTTAATAAGTTTTCAAAAATTTTAAATATAAAATTGACTTAAAATATCACTCAAAATCCCAAATAAATAAATGTTAATTGCATTAATATTTATCTTGTTCAATATGTATACTTGTTAAAAAATATCCTAAATATTCATATTACCTGTTGACAAATATTCATATTACCTGTTAAGAAATTATTTATCTTGTTCAATAGGTTCAATATGGGTAAGAGAAATTTTCAATTTCAAAGACTAAATTAAGATATAAGACTTAAATATAATGCATTGTTCTAATTTTTTTAGGGAGGGCTATAGCCCACCCAAGCCACAATGTGGCTATGCCTTTGCTGCCTAATAGTATAGATCGACGATATATATATTATGAAATGTTATATATAAATATTTCAATGCGAAAATATATATATATATATTTATTGAAAAAGAATAATTAATGATAGATATGTCCTGCCAACTATATTACGTATGAAGATGTTACGGTTCCATTACGAAATAATTCTGTTGGATTTTGTAACCGTTATCAATTATTT